CAGTCAGGCTGATTTTCTGCTGCTTTGGGCCTTGTCGTAGCCATAAACGGGCTCGGTTTAGGGTCGCGATCAAGGTTGCGCTACTGAGCCACGTTACTTTGATTGAAAAGAGTGGCCGGCGTATTCGACAACCAAACGTGCACCAACTGCTTTGTCTATTGAATCGAGTAGTCCCATGGCGTAGGTGCTTGGTATTTTGCTGAGTAATGCCTTTCGCCTCCTCTTTGCAGGGGCGAGTGCCGGGTGCTACCGCTGGATGTCCTCAACGCGCTGGGCTGGACGGAGGACTACGTAGAAAACCTGACAATGCGCCCCTACCCCGTCTTCCGGCCCAGTTCTCTTCTGCGCAAGCGCACCATCTTGGTCTCGGCCAGAAAAGGAGTCGGAAAGTCCAAGGCCTTTTGCCCGTGGCTGGTGGCCATGGTCGAGCTCAATCCCGGCTTTTCCTTCCTTCTGATTGGGGCCAATATTTCTCTGTCCCTCAAGTACTACGAGGAATTGGTGGACGCAGGCGTGCAAGATGTCGTGCTTTATCAAGAGGCGCCCCGAGGGCCAATCACCGCCTCTCGCGTCGTCTGCTGCATCAACTCCATTCACCGCGTGCGCGCCAGCATGGACCTCGTCTCGATGGACGAGATGGACATGGTGCTCAGCAACCTCAACTCCGAGGTCATGCAACAGCGGGGGCGGGTGTTGTCTTGCCTTGAGGGCCTCGTGGAGAGGGCAAAGGTCGTGATTGGCATGGACGCCAACATCGACTGCGCACGGGTGATGGAGTACCTCTTCATGGTCCGGCCGGATGGGGGGCTTCACACCATCCGGAACACGGGCCTGTATCCGGCCGAGAGGCGGGCGACCATCCGGATCTTCCCGCCAGAGAGCGGGCTGCTCAAATGCATCGGCGCCGCGGTGCAGGATGTCCTGCACCGTGTTGCTCGAGGCACAAAAGTCGTCGTAAGTTCTTACTTCACCAACCTAAACAGCTCTTTGCACAACGCGCTTGATTCCATTCGTGTGATCTTCTCAAGCACTGTGAGTGAGGGCCTGTTTGAGGTATAGGGTGAGACATGTGAAGCATCTTCCCTGCGTGTCCGCCTCGTGGATTCAGAGGCAGGTTTGTCGTTGAGCGGCTCTCTCTGTGAACATTTCGCTATCTATGGAATCTAGGGGGCACTGTCTTGCCAAGCATTTGCATCTTTTGACTTCAGCGAACAGGTTAGCGAACAGGTTTTCTGTACTTTCTGCAAGGGACCGTCGGGTGCAATTTGTCGGAGGCTCGTCCAATCAATTGTATAGTGTCTAGCAACCACCCGGCATGGCCCGTGACAATTTGCACCCTTGTTCTATACATCAAAGTTCATAAGCCAGTGCAATTTGTCAAATGTTCAATCAACCAATCACAAAGATCAGGGACCACCTCGGCATGGGCGCAGATTGTTTGAAGCTTGTTCGCACCATCTGCTTTTGCCTTGCGGTCTAAAACTTAACAAGGATCGGTGCTCTATGCTTTTTGCGCAGTGCCCGTCGACCTCCAAGCGCTTCGTGAAATATCTCGAACACGAGTTCAACGTTGAGAACCCACCCGCCGAATCCGATCGACGCGGCATCTTCCTGCACGCCGACAAGAGGTCGAAAGCCGACGAGGAGTTCTTCCAGAAGGCGATGGCCGAGCCCGACACCTACCTGGAGGCGGACTGCGTGGCTTTCTCTCCGAAGCTAGGCCCAGGGGTCTCGAAAGAGAAGCCATACGCCGAGCAAACCGTTGCCTTTGCCCTCAACAACCTCAACGGCCCTCCCGTTGAGACGCTACTCCAGCAGCATGCTCGCTTCCGGACGGTGACTGACTCCACCATCTACTACAAGCAGGTGTTCACGCCAGCAGTGGACCTGCCGCGCTCTACAGAGGCGGTCTTTCAGGCGATCGAGCGGGACGACAGGCAGATCGTCCATATGCTCGGTGACGCCTCTGGCTTTCACTTTCTGAGAGGTTCGCAGGGCATCTGCGACCGATCCTCAGCGAGCTGCGTCTTGTACGCGAACAACATCCTCGCCAAGGTGGAAAGCTACTTTGAGTATGTGCCAAAGCTGAAGGCCGACCTGGAAAAGCAGGGCTACGAGGTGACGGTTGAGCATGTCGAGCCACGGGTGGGGTTGCAGAGCTGTTGAGTTGCTAGGCTGTTTGTGTTTCAAAGCTGCTCTGTCTTGAAGCAAGGCGCTTTCTGACTGGTTGCAGTCCATTCATGTGAGTCCCTTGTCACGCGCTGATCAAACTCCGAAGATGACACGTGTTGCTTTGTAAGGGCGAGATTGTGAAATGTGTGAGAGTCTGGCCTTGCAAAGCGTCAAGTCTTTTTTGAGTCGAGATCGGATGTTGTTGCTAGCCCTACCAGCATTGCTGAAACGCTTTCCCTTCCTCGCTTTCCCTTCCTCAGAATGATCAGCGTGTCTCACCATTTTCTTCTAGGGCATCCTGGGGCGCCCGCCCCCAGACGTACCTCTCGGCTTCGATGCGGAGCCAGAGCTTCTGGCCGACGAAGAATGGCGAGCCAAGTACATCATCGGTCCGGACCAGTACGAGATCCTGTGCGACAGGCATGAGGACCTGAGCCCGAGGGAGCAGCTCCAGGAATTTCTCTTCGAGATGGTCACGAAGGAGTACAAGGTCGACCCTGGCCGGGTTGATCACGACTTTTACGTCCGCTTTTGCGCTGACACGCCCGAAGCAAAGCGGACAAGAGAGGCTCACACAAACTATCTCAGGTGAGTGTCTCCTTCCAGCCGCGCCCCGTTTCAAGCAGAAAGCAAAGTTCTCTGGCCGCCAACAACTTCCATCGAAAGTGATCGATCCTCACGTTCTGAAGTTCCGGTTTTGTAGCATCTGTCCAGGGCAACTTTGCAAATCCACTTTTCATTTCCGAGTTTGAAGCATTTGTCTGAAGCACAAGTGTCTCCCTTCTTCTCTATCCATCTGCATGGACGAGGTACGTGTGATCGTCGGTTTGTTGCCTCTTGACATTTGTTGTGACTCGCAGATTTCGTGAGAACCGCTTCAACACCCTCGCCATGGACCTGGACAGAGCACTCGAGCAGGTCAACAAAGCGGGCGTAGTTCAGGAGTACGTCCAGGAACAGCACCACCCGCTCAGCCGTGTGCCGTTTGCGGTGCGCGTCCTTGCCTTCCTGGTGGACTGCAAGGAGGAGGAGCTGGACCATGAGGCAGAGCGGTGGGAGGCTTCGGAGGAGCGCGTGCAGGCTGTCTATGCGGAGCTCATCGGGTCTAGCAAGAGCCGGCTAAAGACCATTTACAACCTGTATGGCTTTGTGCAGCAGACCTCAAGGCCCACGCAGGCTGCCGATGGGAGAGAGAAAGAGAGCAAGGCTCAGAAGCGAAATGCAGTGGGGAACGTGCTCAGAGCGGGCCTTGGAGTTGAGCTACAGAAGGGCTCAAAGAGTGGTGGCAAATTCAAGCAACCCCACTCGTTGACGCCCGCAATTTGCTTAGGATTGCATGAGCGGTATCGTTCGTTCGAATTGGACATGGACGCAGGGGCTGAGTGCACAATTGAGCCGCTAGAGGTGTTAAGCTCCCAGTTTGAGAGTTTATGAATATGCATTAGACTGAGCTAGGTTTGAATAGCATCTTACGAGACCATATTTATTATTGGCCTTATCAATCAAACTGATTGAAGAGATGCATTGCTTTGAAGGTTCCCATTTGCATTGAAAGGTGTTGCAATGAGACAAGTCGCCTAAGCTCGCATGACACACTCGCCAAAGAGGCAGGCCGTGCTCTACTTAGGAAATATGCACTGCTTTGACGGGTGCGAGCTAAGCCGTCAATTTGCATGGCTATTTGAGGATTGCTTGTATAGAACCGTTGGTGCAAATTGACGGGCCCATGCCGGACACTTTCTTTGATGAAGATTGTAAGAGACGGCACTAAAAGTTGCCGTCAATCTGCATGGTTATTCGAGGATTGCTTGTATACAACGATGGTGCAAATTGACGAACCCATGCCGGACACTTTCTCCAATAAAATGTTACGAAACAGCACTTTAAGGAGCCGTCAATCTGCATGGCTATTTGAGGATTGCTCGTATGGAACGATGGTGCAAATTGACGGGCCCATACCGGACACTTTCTCCAATGAGATTGTAGGAGACGGCACTTTAAGGAGCCGTCAATCTGCATGGCTATTTGAAGATTGCTTGTATAGCACGATGGTGCAAAGTGACGGGCCCATGTCGGACACGTTCTCCAATGATTTCGTAAGAGATGGCACGAAGCGGTGTTGTGAAGGCTTGCATGCTGATGGATATGTCAATGAGGCCTTTGCACACCACTGAATTAAGGCGTCAACCCTCCTTAAAGCTCGCACTTTGCATACATACTTAAGGGTAGAGTTGGGCTGATTACCTACCAACATTCTTTCAATGGAGCAGCTTCCAAGTGGACACATGCTATGTCGAGCGGTTGGGGTCAGCTTTGAAGGCCGTCAGGACCTTGTTCGCAAGCTTCGACCAGGCCAGGAGCTCGTGCTTCAAAAGCATTTGGGAAATGGTCATGATACATACGGCATAGGTATATTCGACCCCACAGATCGTGTGTTGCCTTTAGGGTTCATTGGGCGCGACTTCAAGCACCATAGAGTGTTTGATCGAGTCCGCAAAGGGATAGATATGCGAGCACGTGTGCATCGCATAAGTCAAGGCAGAGGTCGTTACGGACCGTGGGGATTCATGGTGGAGATCGAAGACTCTAGCACAGTCTCTTGCACGTCTCACGATCCCGCTCCAAATGACATTGTTTGCGAGATTGTTATCCAGAAGCGATCTTGAGGGCATGGTGCAAAGACTCGTTTGTCATTGAGTCGGCACAAGAAAGGTATAAGTCTCAGGTTGAGGAATGGGTTGAGATGCAAAGACATACGCACTATGTACTAATCGTTCGCGTTTTCTGCTAGATGTTGGTAGATGACATGGATGCTGTTCTTGAATACCAGCCATCGACGAGTGCAACCATAAAAGAAATGGACAGAAACGTTTTGAACGCAGCCAAAACAATTATAATCCGTTGCTTCAAAGAGTTCAACATGCTCGACACAATTCTGGATGTGGGTGCCCTTGCAGGAATGCGTGCGCTCGTTGGCCCCTATGATTTGAAGCATATTACTAGAGCTCTTACTCGAGCACTCGTAGCAGACGGCTTTGACGCCTATTGGGAGAAGTTTGGATTTCACGGCCCATTCTTTATCGTCGTAAGTTGGCGGATGGCGTTAGAAGATGCCAAGCGTGCTCGCCATAATGCTCGCCACCCAAAAGCTCAATCAGAGTCTATCTTAAGGCATCGAGGAAGCCGGATAGCTTTGCCTCAACACAAGAACAATGAGGCGTGTTCTCAACTTTCCAGTCGTGCCCCTAGCTTGATATGGGAAGATCATGATGAGCCGGTTATGGGCCTTGAGCTACTAGCAAACCCAGAAAAGGTTCAAGGATTACACGGCTCTCCCAAATCCCTCTCATCTGGATAAAATACCAAGCCAAAGGCTTCAGTATTCGAAAAGTGTACGCTGATATTCATAGTATCCAGGACTGGTCAGTTTTCTGCAGAAAATCGAGGTTGAGTCTTGGGTCGAAGTCAGCTTATAGGAGCTTTTGTAACCAGATAACCATGAAAAGCCTCTACGTATCTCAAATTCGTCATTTAAATCCTGAACGTGTATATTCATATTATCTAAGACGGGCCTTTATTCCCTTGTTAAAATTTTCTCCGCTAGTATCCAGATAAGCTGACAATGCAAGGCTGTGAGAAGAACGCACGACTCATAACCATAGTTACCGAAGGTCAACGTCTCTTGCGCCAGGTATTTGATGACGGTACTCGCAAAGAGAACACTCTTCAGCAATACTGCAACCATGTGATGAGACTGTTCCGTGGGTTTAAGGGG